TATAAAAATGTATGTCAGCTCTGATTCAGGGCTCAGGAAGGAGAATGGACTTGCTGATGGCACATTTCGAGCTTCAGGAAAGAGAATGGAATTGTTGATGTCTTGGACAGGGATCATGTGTATTTAGTTGATTACATTTCCTGTTTTCACCAAGAACTTTTGAAGTACACTCAGCCTGTGAAGTGGCAGTCACTGCATAGCTGCCTCCAAGAAAATTATGGTTGTTGCTGCAAATTGAATTCCTACTGCATTGAAACTGTGTTTGAGAAGTTGCCTTCACCCTTTTAAGGGAAAACTAATTTCTTACTCATTGTTAAATTAAGGTAAGAGCTCCTCTATCTTTATTAGATCATGTTGGAAGATGCCTCTGTCACTCAGTTATCTCACACGAGTTGCTCTCTTCTGTAAGAAAAAAACACCACATATTTGTGTGTAGGGTTCTTTCCCCATAAAATATAGTTGTCCTAATTTTATGAGTTGTACCATGAATCCCATCTGATTTCTGCAAGCAGTTTTTGCTTTGTCTTTGCATTTGATATGATGATATGATAGTTACTTGGTTTCTGACAATCATCCCTTTGCTTTGGACTTTATCATGGCAGTGGTGAAAGTTTGAACTGAAAAGGTGATCCCATTATTGTGATGTCTGGTGGTCAAAACTGTGTAAGAATCAAAGTCATATATTGATCAGGCATGAAACAAGCTTTCATTAGTTAAAATACCCACTTAGAAACAAAACAAGGTTAGAAGTGATTAAAATATAGATAAGCAATGTTTTCAGACTTATATGGTCACACTGATAGTTTCATATTCCAAGGGTTTTAGCTGATGCCCTTTACTAACTTAAAGAGATTTTATACTTTGGACTAATCTTTAAATAATTTAGGATTACATAATTCCATTTTAAGAGATTATGTGAATTGATGCAAAAATGAACTCCTAATTAAGATGACATTGAAATATGTAGAGGTGAATTGTCCAGCTTGCATTCTTACCTGCAAATTATATTGTGTGTCATATGGCCTGGGGTCACTTATGAGTCAGGTGCATATAGAGCTGGAAAGTGACTTTTCAATACTGTTATGTTGGCATTCTCCTTTGAGTTCTGGCCAAGGGTATTTTGTCTTTTTATATAAATATCCTATTTTTTTGAGTTTTATTGGTGTTAGTAATAGAAGAGATGTTCATGCACTGGTCATAGGACAGTCTCTTTCCATAGTACTCACTGGTTTTGGCAAGGATCACTGGAAGAAATGTTTTCCACTTTTAGAACTTCATTAAATATTGATATAAAGTCTAAGTAGATCTAGTATTTCAGTCAGCTGCTTGCTCACTGACTTGCCTGAGTTTCTCCTGCTGTAAGGTGGCTGCAGGTACAGAAGAGTGGTGTTCTGTCATTTCCTACCACTGAAGTAGTTACAAGTCCCACTGTAGTAGCCCAGACATCACATCCTGTTTCTTTCTTTGTGGTATTTGAGCTAGAGATTTTCTCTCTCTCTATATATATATATATATGTGTGTATTTATTAAATTTTAAGTTGTTTTTTAAAATAGCTGTTCACTAATTCCTTTCGGATTCAAGTCTTTAAGGACTGAACAATGTTAAAAGCTCACAGGTGAAAAATTCTTTCCAATGTTCACAAGTGTGTAAGGATGAAAAATAGTCCTTTTTATAATAGTGTGTTCACTGCAGCCCCTCTTATCTATTGCTCTGGCTGGCAAACAGGGATGCACAGGAAACAAATTAACAAGTAATGACATTCCAAAAATAGAGCACACACACATTATTTAGCAGAGGAACAGGACACCAACTCCCAGTGTGCTCCACCTCTGACCATCCTTTAACTGAAAGTGTCCTGTCATTTTAATAGATGCAGAGTGAACAAGGCTCAAGTTAATTGTCATGTGTGAAAAATAGTCCAGAAATACAAAGTGCTTACTAAACACTGCAGGGGAATTGGTAAAGGAAACCTGACAGGGCCTGAAACATTAGTCTGCCTAGGATGGAATGTCTAATATGAAAAGGAGGTGTGCTGAGTTAAGGTTATTTAACATGTTGCAACAAGATGTGCTTAACTGGCTACCACATTATAGGTGGCACCTTTTTGTGTTTGGTTTTTTTTTAACTGAAAGTCCTGATTCAGTGAAGTGTCTGAGTCAGGTGTTTGGCTGGGTGGGGGAAGGGAGGAGAAGAGTGAAGAATGATTAAAAAGTGTATGTTCTGGAATAGTATTTTATTAGTTGTTATACTAGATTAGCATAGTGATGTATCAATACAATTAATATAATTTCCTGTTTACTCCATAATATAAGTATAGGTGCTTTAATCTTAAAAGGTAATGAAAGGCTCTTTAGTACAAACTAGTTACAGTACACAAAAAGCTCTTTATTAGCTCAGTGTACATGAGTCTCGTTATCTGTTTCAGTAGTTTCTTCATTGCACTTTCAGATTCACAAAGCTGTAGTTAAGGGTCAGTGGCATTTTTTATCTGCTGCATTTCCCCCCTCCCTCAGAGATTTAACAATATGCTGGTCTTATGCACTGTAATTCAAAGTGTAGTATCTTGTATTTGATTCCTTTTTTAAACAGGCACGTGAATTATCTCTGAAACATTTAAGGAAGAGTGCAAATGCTACCCTTTTTATGTCTTTTAAAAAGTAACCATTGTGTTTACCATCTCTGGCACATTTGACTATGAATATATATGTATATTTTGAACCTGAAAACAGCGTGGCTTTAGCTGTCTGTCATTTTGTTACTGTCTGTGCCACAGATAACAATATGGCTTGTCCCTTAGCCAGCCCATCAAGACTCCAATGCTGTACCATGTGTAAACTTAAATTTGGTAGCCAGGCTGTGCTGGATGCACAGTTTCTATATGGTGTGAATTGAGTGTCTTTGCAGCTCCTGAGGGTGTGGAAATCAGTGGAAGGTTGGTATGTTGAGCTCCCTGAGGTCAAAACATGCCAAATGATGTTTTGGTTTGAGCACTCTCGGGTTTTAGTTGAGTTTTTAGACAGGAAATATGTTCATGTGTTGAAAGTTGTAGTGGTGTGGTGAGATCTGGTGGGGGAGCAGACTGCAGGGCCCCAAATGCCAGGCTTGGGAGAAAAATACTGAGTGTGAGACTGGAAATGGTTTTGTGCCTGACTGTGCACCTGATAACCTCAGCTAGCTCATGTGAAGTGGAACAGAACACAGTGCTGAAATAAAATAGTTTTTGTATTTAAGATATTAAGAAGTTGGCTGTTACCTCTGTATTCAGAAGAGGAAGCAGGTAGATTTGGAGTAGGGGCAACAGAGTTGAATGGTCACCTTTCCATATGTAAGAGTTCGGGCTCTGATTAGCAAGAAAAAGTCCAAACGTTATTGAAAAAGATGGACAAGTTTTATTTTTTCATTGAAATGTTGTAGATCACAGAACAGAATATGCTGAGTTAAAAGGGACCCATCAGGACCATCGAGTCCAACTCCTGGCAGGGACACCCCAAGAATCACAATGTAATGACTTCTTGGATTACAGGATTTTAATATCCCCTTTTAATTATAGTGGTAGTGGCTTCAGGTCTGATTTACTTTGAACATAGACAGAATTTTCCTCTAGCATATTTGCTGTTACCTTTTTTGTTCACTGAAGGGGTTTAATCCCTACATCCCAAAGTTGTTTTAATTTCACCCTGGTCTGTAAAACAGAAGTGAGGATAGGTGTGTAGGTTGCCCTACCAGTTTACAGTTCTTTTAGAAAGCTCCTCTGCAGCATTTGTCCAGACCAAAGAGTGCAAATTCTAGTCTTCCAAGAACCCTCAGATTATTCAGAAGGTTATTTTTTAGTTACTTTACTGTGGGACTACTCTGAGAAGTTATTTTCTATCTTCTACTTAAACAGCTCAGTTATTGCCATCCATGGAATTAATATATACTTGGGAGGAATATAAAGGGAATATTCTAAAACTAATTTAAATAGTGTTAAGAATTTTATGTGGTCTTCATAAATTTTCCTTCTCTGTCCCCTTGCATTTCCAGTCATACAGAATCCTTTTGATACTTTTGCATCTTAAATCTTCCCCCTTTAAGTGACTTTGTGCTGTTCATCCTCCTGCCTGGGTCAGCTTCTGCTTCTCAGTGAGACTCTTGAAGATTTCTTAAATTTTTCTTCCTTTTTTTTTTTTGTGTGCTTTTGTCAAAGGGATGGTTAAAAAGCAGATGAATGCATATGCAACCAGTTGATAGGAAAAGCTTCAGCTTAATTTCTTAAGAAATTAACTCCTCAAATAAAATTCATTTACCTGCCTGCTGGTGATTATCTATTAAGTAGTCTGGGTATAAGTGTCACTTTTTAAACTCTCAGTTTTGAGTAGGACTGTGATGTGAATGTCTCATAAATATTTCCCAAGAGCAATTTATTTTTCTAATGAGCTTGAACAGCCTCTGCCTCGTGTAGCACTTTAAAGGGTTTTCAGAAAATCAGTTCAGTCACAGAACTGTCATTTAAAACTTTTCCTTAGTTACTGTAATTCTGGATATTCTCAGTATCTCACTAATTAGTACACTTAATCATACCTTGTATAAAATGCATGATAATATGGGTTAATGATTCCTAGAATTTCACAGAGAAAGAGGAACATGAGTGTTCACAGCCCTGAAAACAGTTTGATGTTCTCCTGTAGAATTATGTACAAGCAGTTTGTACAGACTGACACAGAGTGGCTGCACACTTAATTTTACTTGCCAGTCATGTCTTTACAGAGTAATTACTTTGGGAGTGTGGCTTTTCATATTAAGATTTAAAAGTTAGTAATAATCAAACATCAGTAACAGTTTCATTATTGCTTCCAAAGTAACAAAAAAAATATACATTTAACATAAATACTCTTAGTTCTCATGGAAAAGAAAATCTACCTTACTGGTTGGCACTTGTGATGTTGATATTTTGAGCTATTTAGGATATGGCAGAGATGACAGTTGCAGTTATATACTGTATGTTATTTTTGTTTTTCAGGATGTGACTTAAAATGACTTCTGATTCTGAAGGTCCTCTGAAAAACAGGCTGTGCTTGAATGTTTGCTAAGGATAAGTAAGTGACTCATCTCATAGTTGAAATATATATATATATATACCTGAAAAGTTATTCCCTTACTGTTTTTAAAGCTACAATTTAGTATATAAGAAGCATATTCTTAAAAAAAAAAAAAGGAGAGGGGGGAGGGAAAAAGGAATAAAAACCCAAACTTATTGCACTGCTGCCAGAAACTGAATTTTCTGTTTATTTTCTTATGGCTTCCTATCTGTGTAAGTGAAAACATCATTTGTTTCTATGATCAGTCTTATAACAAAGGAATCTTTGCATAATACCAAGAATATTTTGACTCAGAAGTTTCACTGAAAAGCTGTGATACTTTTTACATATGTTTATTTGAGGGAAATATAAGTTTGAAATAATGAATTTCCACCTAGAATACAGAGTTACAGAATGAAGTGTCCTCTAGTTTTATTTATATCAAATAAAATTTAAATATTTGGGGCTTCTCTTAGCACAAAACAGTGATTTAATTGCAATTTGCATCTTACGAAAATGTGTGACTTACAGTTTGGTTTTTAGGAGAGAGGATTATATTTAATATTTTAACATATAAAATAAAAAAAATACCAGGCCATCTTCATGTTCATTGAAGAGAACTTGTTTATTTCTTTGTAATTGGCTTATTTTGAGTAATGCTAAGAGCCAATTTATGCTTTTTTGCCAAGTGCATTTTCCAAACAAGAAATCATCTCAGACAGAAGAACTTCCAAACATGCAAGATACCATAAGTACCTATATTTAATTTAGGAAAAACTTCGTGGTTTCGTAGGGCCAGCAAAGTGTTAAAAATGCTTTCATGCAAAAAATATTGTCTTAAAAAATATTTTTATGTGTTTTAAATTAGTATTGTATAGCCATGTGTGTGTGTGTGGTCAGCTGTTTCAACTAAACAAACATAAAAACTAAATCTGAAGCATCTAATTGTGTTTTGGGGCTCCTGTTGGGACAAAACCTTCCCAGTTGCCATGTTTTTTTTGATGAATAGTAGTAGAATACTAAACTTTTTTGGTTTTAGTAGTAAAAAGGCATAAAAATTTTCCCTTTTGAAAGCTGTGTGTCAGAGCTGTCTACTGAAATAATTATTCACTTCAGGAATACTCCTCAGAACTTCCAAAATTGGTTTTCTGTTTGGAAAAACTTTTTAGCCCCTTAGAAAGTTACAGGCTCATCTTCAGTGAATAAATGGAACACCTGGTGCTTTTAAACTGGGGATTTCTTCCACTATTAACTCACTGAATAATAGCTGCTTCTTTGGCAAATATTTCCTGTAACTGGGAAATTAATTTGACTGTTAACAGTTTGTACTGTAAATCCATCTGTGCTGGGAAGCAGCTTCTGTAATTTCCTTAACTAAACAGTTACAGAGTTGTTCTGGGCATGACATGCCTGCCCAGCTTGGAATGATATTCTTAGGAAAAGGGAAATACATGTGCAGGAACTCTGCAGCTTCAGGCCTGAATAAACCACCACCAGCTACTTGGGTTTAAGAGCAGGGAAACAGCCTGTGCAGATCACCTGATTTTTCCTTCCCTGTCCAAGCTCTTATATGTAGGGACTGAACAGTTTTCTTAAATAGAAGGCTTGTGCTCTTTCATATGTATCATGTTTCTGAGTCAAAATGTAGTAATTTATGGTTTTCTATTTACTCATATTATCTCTCAGTACAAGTAAATGCTGAAACAAAAACGACATTTCCAATATAAATCATTTAATGCAACCCTGTAACCTTCAAAATTACATTATCATGAAATGTCTGTCCCAGCTCAAATTTTCAACTGTTTTCCTCCTCTCAAACAGAATTTACTCTTGGCTTCAGACACACTTGCTATGCCCACACCCTTCCTGAGCTTGCCTTAAGACTTATATTTTAAGCTCTTCCTTTCACTTTCCACGACAGCTCTTAGCTCTGCTCTCTGTCTATACTCAGATGCACTTACATACATATATATATGTGTGTGTATATATATATATATATATATATATATGTGCTAATGCAGTGCCAGGGAGGGAAGCAGCAGCCCTGGGAGGGGGTGTGTGTCACCCCCAGCGTGACTGAGGCTCCAACCTTAGCTGGGAGCTCTGTGGGCATAAAACCTTATGAGTCATCTCTTCTGCTGAGTGTCACCTTCAGATAATCAGCTGCTTTTTGCATGATGTTTCTATAATCTGGTTTTTTTTTTTACAACTGCTCACTTACTCAGATGAGTAGTTTTTCGTTCAGCTGCTTAATCGAAGGCAATGTGATCCCTGCAGTTTTCAGTGCTGTACCGTCATCTAGTGGCACAACAGTGTATTTTTCCTGGGCCCTAATACGTGTATTGGAGAGCTTTTTGCCCTGCAGGAATATCTGAATGAATAAAGGCCTTCAGACTTGCTCTTCCATCTCTCTGTATGTTGGGTTTGTCTTGTTCATCCTGGTTTTGTATCAAATATTTAGGTGTAAGACCAACTTCTTACCTCTGCAGTTTGTGCCCACAGTACAGAGTGAGGCATCTTCTGTAATTCTTTATTTCAAATGTGAGACTCTGTTTTACTGTTGGTTTTAATTTTATTGTGATATAAAAAATATATTATCCTTCCTTTCCTAATGCATATCTCTGAAACAAATTTTTAACCTTTATTTTTGCTTACATTGACACAAAGCTTTATAAACCAGTGTTTTGGCTAAATAAAAGTTAGATTTTAAAGAAATGGTAAGCAAACATTATTTTTAATAGCAAAAAGGTATATTGATTTCCAGTAAGAATGCTGACTTGTAAATCTGATAAAAATAAATGACTTAGCTGAAAGTTCTCTGTATTTTGAGCTAGTATTTCGAGAGGTTCATTCACAAATACTATTTTGTTGCTTTTAGTTGCTGATGCATGGTCAAAATGAGTGGATTAGGAGAAAACTCCTTGGATAGCTTGACCAACGAGTCGAGGAAGCGCAAACCACTGCCCTGTGATACACCAGGTGCAAGGTAGGTTTATGTGGAACTTCCTCAGTTTCAAAGGAGTTTTTAAAAAACATTTTTCAAGCTTTCGTTGCAATTTAGAGTTATTTCTATCTGAGGAATTTGTTCAGTTGAAAACTTCTTCTCCTGGGAAGGTAGGTCACTTTACTGTTGTGTGGAGGTGAACTATGCTTTATAATTAGACTCTTGTGGAAATTTTAATAGAGTGAACATGTCTTAGAATGGCTCATACATCATCTAGTTCCAGTCCCCCTGCCATGGGCAGGGACACTTTCCACTAGAAAAGGAATCACTGTTCAAAGCTGTGATTGCAAGGAATAAAAATAAAAACTTCTCGCTTCACAGGAATTTTAAAGGCATTGTCTTGTATCTGGTGATGGATTTGACAGACCTTATTTCAGGTGGTTGCATTCAGCACAGAGTTCTGCAAGAGGCTGAGCTCTTTGTTTGTACTTGTGTTTCTTTGCAAGTTCATCTCAAATTCTGGCATTCTGTGTTACCTTCCGGCCCCTCACCCTGCTCTGGCAGATATTGGTGGCTGAGGGACAGTTTTCTGTTCCCCTCGAACCTCATTGCTCTCCACCACGTTAAGTGTTCTGTGTTATCCTCTCATGTTCTTCTTCCCACAGAGTATTAACTCATATTAAATTTGTCTTCAGTTTCTCCAAGGTCTCAGGCATTGTGTGTACTCATATTTGTCCCTTATAGATACATCCCCACTGTCCCAGGCCATTTACCTTCATCATACAACAGATTGTGTATGAGATCCTTAGGTTCTTCCACCATATCCCAGTGTCTCTTTATGAGAATCCTCCATTCCAGTTTCTTTTTCCCTTTCTCCAGTGTCTGTCTGTCCCCACTCAGGAATTCTGTTTTTCAGATTGTCACCCTTCATTAGCTTTCTTTATCTTTCCATCTCCTGCTTTGTCATGTATTTGTTTTCTCCAGTATTGGTCCATGAATACTTTCCAAACTCTTTCACTTGGTTTCTTCTCAAAGAACATTCACTCTCTTTTGATTACCTTGGTGTGTCCATTCCTGCCCCTTCCCCGAGTCCTTCTTTTCCTGCTCCTGCTGTACTCTGTGTGTAATATTTCTCCCTGTTGATTTAGGCTGGAGACAGTGTCTTTGCTCAGCACATTAACCCCTGTAGGAAAAGGAATTTCAAAGAGAGACTTTATCCAGCAACATTAGGTTGTCTAGGATTCTGCTTTTCCTGGATGTTGAGATGGCATTTTTGTCCTGATGCCTAGAAATTTCTGAGGTATCACCTTCTGCAGTCATCTCTTTGCAAGCAAACTGAATAGAATATTAATCTTTAATAGAATATTAAAATTCTGTTTCATTTGTCTAAAAATTTTTAAGCAACTCTAAAGCAGCTTCTAAGATTAAAATACACTTTCTGCATGAGTGCTACAATTTTATAACAGGTAATTGCTCTTTTCATTTAATTTGACAATAGAGAAAACACAGGAGGATTTTTTTTTTTGGAGGGGGGTGAATAGCTTTCTTATATCCCCTTAAGGTAAATTTGTGCTTAAAATTCTGTAAAAAAAGGCAAACCAAATACAAAACCCAAACCAAAGAACAAACACACACAGACCTTTCACAATTCCTGTTTGCTGGAAGAATAAGAACTGCCTGGGTTTAAGGGGTGGGTGTGACATGGAGTACATTGAAGTTCACAGAGTGAGCCCAGGTTTTGTTTGGGGTGGTATGTAAACACGTGAAACAATGTTTTTGATTCCCAGTCTGACCTGCAGTGGTGAGAAGCGGCGGCGTGAGCAGGAAAGCAAATACATTGAGGAACTGGCTGAGCTGATCTCTGCTAATCTGAGCGACATCGACAACTTCAATGTCAAACCAGACAAATGTGCTATTTTAAAAGAAACTGTGAGGCAGATTCGACAGATAAAAGACCAAGGTACAGTCCTCTACTCAGTCAAAATAAACAATTCAATTTTCTTGTGATTCTTTTCTTGAAGCAGTTGTTATTTGGGAAGTTGAGCAATGGTCTTCACAATAGCACGTAACTGAGCAAGTCTTCGGACTTTGACTTGAAACAAACCTTAAATATGTCTGGAATGATTTTCAGGTTCAAAGTACTCAAGTGTTTATCATCACTTTTTCTTATGAATAAGGTTTTAAAACTTTGTATGGCCTTTCTTACCAGTTTCCTGGAAATACTAGAAAAGCTTAAGCTAGTGCATGGACAAGGTAAAAAAAAGCAGATAGTACTGTACCATCTGCTTGTACAATATCCCAAATACCCACTGATATGCAGAATACATGCTGTTGCCTTTCACTTCAAGGAAATTTATGCTTTTCTTATAGGGTAAACCTCCAACCAGAGATAGTGACTTTTATTGCCATTTTTTCCTGTTATGTTTTCTCATGCTGTTTATGACACCTTTCCTAAATGATAAGTGTTGGATGCCTCTATATGTTTAAAACACATCTAGATTGAGATCAAATAATTAATTAGTGTGGTTGACTGTGTTCAGTATGGAGTCAAGTCAACAAAGGAGGAAGTAGCAGTGCATCATACCTTGGTAATTTCTGTCAGCTGGGGTAAACCTAAGTGGTATAATATGTTTTTTTAATGAACAGGTGTACACAAAATGTGTGTTTTGAAATGTAGAGCAAGGGGTATGTGTAATTTTGTTGTTGTCTTTTTTTAAACACCACCCCACCCACGACACCACCTCCAGTGTCTGTAGCCTCCCATGTACCATTTGGGCAGTAAAGTATTAAAAAAACAAGTATCCTACAGTGTATTTTACCTTGCCACATCTTACAAAGACATGTTAGAACGATCACAAAAATTCATCTTCTGTTTTTAAGGTTTTTGTAGTGCCATCTAGTGTGTTCTAATGCTTCATTACAGAGTTGAGTACATGATAGTCTTCCCATAGGATGTTGCACTCCTCTTGTGGCCTGCTCAGCCAGCCAGCAAGTACCACAAAACAAAGCTTACTTTTTATTTTCTGTAATTCTGCTGGATTCCCATTCTACCTTCCCCTGCAGTCAATTAATTTAGGATATTTTGATTCTTAAAATATTGGTTTATTACATGCACACACATATGTATACATAACACACACATCTACTAACATGAGTCAAAGCCTTTTAGTAGAACAGTGGGGTGGCATCTCAAGACTGTGCCCACTGCTGATGAGATGATAAAATCTGACTTGTAATATTAAAATTGGAGCCTTCCTGTGAAATGTTCCTGTACTGAAATGTATCCTTTGGGTTTCAGGAAAAGCAGTTTCTAATGATGATGATGTTCAGAAAGCTGATGTATCTTCTACTGGTCAAGGAGTTATTGACAAGGATTCACTGGGGCCTCTTTTGTTACAGGCAAGTACAAATTAAGCCCTTGTAAATCCCTGTGGAACCAAATACTTAAGGCAGGTGAAAATGCTCCAATAAAACATGCAATCCTATAGTAAGAAATAGTATGCCAGAACTATACAGACTTGTATTTGAAAGGGTCAGGAATAAAATCTACAATGTTTTCTTAATTTTACTGGAATTCTCTATAGAAGGAAATAGAAGAATAGTCTTTGGCTTTTTCTTATATTCTTGTGCTTTACTTTCTCCAGCAGTCATTAGCAAATTACTACTTAAACAGGGATTGTTAATACAAAGAGTATTTTACTTTTTTTAGGGGAAAGACATTAAATGGATGGAGTTTTGGGGAGGTTTGTTATGTGTATTGGTGTTCATGTTACTAACTTATGGAGCATTTTAAATGAATGTTGCCATCAAGTAAAATAACCTAAGAATCATTGTAAACAAAGGTACAGAGGAGATACCCTTTATCTATACCTAGAAAACCAATCCCATATTTACAAATTCAATAAAAAGCACTTTTGAAACTTAATTGTTCCACACAGACATTGAGTTTTTCTTTCAGTTAAGAAAATACAGTATTTTAATATGTGGTTAGACCCTCCTCTTTTATCACTTGCTGGTGGAATTGTCTTCATATTAATGACTTACTATTTGCTTCTACTGACTTTCTGCTTGTTCCAGCTTGCTAGTTATTGAAGTAATGTTATGAATTCATGATCTGCTGTTCATACAGATCAAGAATGAAGCAAGAAGGCTGGTTATCACTGTGAAAGAGCTGAGTGGAATAACAAATGAACAGATTAATTTTTAATATTAGAATTATTCCTTACTAGACACACTTTTCCTCAGAGAATTTAAAACTTCAGCTCTAGCCTTGAAAATAAATGAATGTATTGTAACTTGACATTTCTCACCCGTGTAGTTTTTAAACTGATTTCTGTTCAGAATTAGGCAGTGTGTCTTAAATGATGTGCTGTCATGTTAATATTTAGGCATTGGATGGCTTCCTGTTTGTTGTAAATCGAGATGGGAACATAGTGTTTGTATCAGAAAATGTCACACAGTATCTGCAGTACAAGCAAGAAGATTTGGTTAATACAAGTGTCTATGGGATCTTGCATGAAGAGGACCGGAAAGACTTTCTTAAAAACTTACCTAAATCTTCAGGTAATAAAAGTTGATTTGTAGTTCATTAGTAGGCTTTTTGAAAACAATCAGAGAAGAAAAAAAGACCTTGTAATGGATAACCTTTCAAAACAGATCACTTGTGCAAAGAGTATTTGACTGCAAAAATACCTTAATCTTGATAAACATTACTGTGTTTTTACCACAGCATACCACCGCAAATAAATGTGCTGGAAATTCACACTGTACTTTAGCCTTTGCATTTTGTTTACCTGTAACTTACAAAACAGGAACACGTTTCCTTATGTCACAAGGTTAGCTGAAGGAACTGCTGGTTTTTAAAATATATAAATGACTTTTCAGCTCTCCCTCAAGTGACTGAAAGTGTCACGTGAAAGAGTATTTTTTTTACTTAGTTCTCAATACTACTGTTTTATACCTGTAATCTGGGAACAGGGTATCTAAATTAAGAAGAATCAGTTTGGGTTTTCTCTGAAAATCTCTCTAAATTCTTCCTGTGTCCTTTGAAGTCAACGGAGTGGCTTGGAGCAGTGAAACCCCCAGGCAGAAGAGTCACACATTCAACTGCCGGATGATGGTGAAAAGCTGCCATGAGCTTTTGGAAGATGTGGGCAGCCACCAGGATGGACGGCAGAGATATGAAACTATGCAGTGCTTTGCTTTGTCACAACCAAGAGCTATGATGGAAGAGGGGGAAGGTAGGAAATTTTGTGTAATTACTGTGCACAGAAGCAATTTCTGTGCAAAGCTCTTCCGTGTCTGGGACGTGTTATGAAATCTGTAGCTTTTGCAGTTCATCTTTAAGAATGCAATGACTTTAATTCTTACTGTCTGTACTACCATTTTAATAACAAACAAGCTATTTTATTAGATACTTCAGTAGAGTAAAACAGGTGAGAAATGAAAGAAGAAAGAAACCCATTCTTTTCTAAATACAGATTTGCAGTCCTGCATGATTTGTGTGGCGCGTCGTATCACAACTGCAGAGAGGGTGTTTTCAACAAATCCAGAGAGCTTTATTACAAGACATGATCTCTCAGGTAGGAAGTGTACCCAGGATGAAGGTATGAAGGGGTCTTCTTTGTCAGTGTGCTCTTGTTTTAAATAAATGGAGTATGTAGGTAAATTGTGTCTCTGTAATGACAGAATTCATTTCGAGAATTCCCAACTGGTTTTTGCAATATACCATTGTTGGCAGTGGGATGTAATAAAAACTGTGGGGTGCATTTTCTTCCCTGTGCTGTTGTTTGGTAGCTTGGTAAAAAGCATTACTTATGTTTTAACTTGGCAGCATTTCAAATGGTTGCCATTGTGCTTTCCTTTGCACGTTAGAAATATTTTAAATCATAACTGAAACGAATGGAAGTTCTTTAGAATGTCTGTATTTTTATACAGTACATGAGCTAGTGTTTAAAGTGGTTTATGTGGTTTAAATTGAAGTGGTTACATAATCAAGTTGGGGCTTTTTCAGATGCCAGTTTGTGTTTATGATGTTCATTTGTGGGTGTAGTTGGTCGGTATTTTTGAAAATTTTACTTTTTGTGCATCCCTTGGGTGCCTGTAACCAGGGACTAAGGTTACTGTTTTCTAAAGCTCTGGCATTGACCTGCGTGGATTAACTTCCTGTTATTCAGTTATATAAACCCCTTTGAATATTGATGTTTTCCAGCAAACAGCATCATATTCTCCTATGACAGATAATTCATAAATTTAAACTCCACGTGCTCAGAATTCGGTGATTTATAGGGGGATTTTGGAACCTTATGAAAGGTACCACGTTTATACAAAACTCATAAAGAGTTTAACTTGTGTATTTTCTTTCCTGTTAAGGCAAACTTGTCAACATTGATACAAACTCCTTACGATCTTCCATGAGGCCTGGCTTTGAAGACATAATTCGTCGCTGTATCCAGAGGTTTTTGTGCCACAACGACGGGCAGTCGTGGTCAAACAAGCGCCACTATCACGAAGGTAAAAATCACTGTACCATGTTTGGTTGTACTGCTTCCCCTGGGGGCTGCATCTTTTCCAGCAAAACAAAAATGCTGAATTCTGCCTGTGTTCTTTTTTTTTTCGTAGCTAGTGTTAATTGCAGTGATTCATTTCCACACTGAAGGAGGGGGCCCTTTTGAGAACTAGAAATTGTGATGCAAGTTATTTTGGGTTTTTAATGTGTTTGTTTCATGGAAAATATCAGATACATAATCTGGGGGCCTGCAGTAAGCTGTTTTTCCACAGGTTGACACAGCAGTGACAGGGACAGCTATATTTCTGTGATAATATGCCATCTTCAATTATCATTAGCTTGTTTTTTTTTTTTGCTTAATGTTAATTTGACTTTATTTTAATTCACCCTTTCTTTTGTTAAACAGTCACTCTCTAAAAACCATAACAGTTGTGTTGATGCCTTTTTCTTATTCAAGACAAAAGGGTTTAAAATATTTTCAGTGTTCCAGTGTTACATATTTTGTAATGCTAATTTGATAACCTTGATAGGTAAGTGAAGTACAGCCACGGTCTTCAGTAAGAAAGATGGTGTTTTCTAAGTATTCTGAACTCTAGTCTTTTTGAAGGATTTACAAAGGCATTCAAGTAGAGGGGATATTAAATAAAGAGAAACTCACACTGGCAAAAACTGGAGTTGCCATTCCCATTGGAAGTACTTCAACATAACTGATTAAATAAATCCTAAATTAAAAAGAAATCTGGAGCCCAGTTAAAAGCAGTGCTTTCCACAATTTTTTGACAGAAGCAAAACTTTTAAACTTAGAAATACTTCCCCAAGCAGGAGCCATGGAAACCTACAACCTGGCCTTGAAAGTCTGTTAACAAATGGAGAACTTTGCCAGTTGTGTCTGGTGAGCACAAAATGCTTCAGCACCAAGATAATCTTGTTTGTTTTTATCTTACCTCTACTAATTTAGGAGAAATTGTGGAATACTTCCTTTTTCTTAATACGTGTTTTTAGTCTGTTTATTTATTTATTTGTTTTTAAAGTTTCATGTTATGGGGGTTTCTTTAATCTTCCGCAAGTGAAGGATATTATGTTAAAAATATGTTAGAAGGCATATTAATAATTCTTGGGGATTTAAATACGAGCTAAATTTGTATATTCCCTTTACAGCTTATACACAGGGTCATGCTGAAACCCCGTTGTATCGGTTTTCTTTAGCTGATGGGACCATAGTGACAGCACAAACCAAGAGTAAACTGTTCCGAAATCCTGTCACCAACGACCGCCATGGCTTTGTCTCTACCCACTTCCTCCAAAGGTGAAATCAGTGCTAGCTGTTCATCATTTAAGTGTCATAGTTCTTAAAAATATGTCTGACCTTGAAGATACTTGAGAAAAAATATTGTGTCTGATTAAAACTCAAACGGAGGGGGAATGACTTGGAAAACAGAGTTGCACAGCATACAAATAAATGTGTGAACCTGACACAGTCCCTATGTGCCAGAAAGGCAGTCAGTCAGAAGAGAAGGGTTTTTTTCTCAGTACCCACATGTAGCCTGTATCATGTATCCATTATTCTTTTGGGATAACATATTGATGGAACACTGAAAGCAGAAATCCTCAGTCACATGCTTTGTTTTACTCTTTTTAATTGCAGGGCAATTAAAAAGACAACAAAACACCTTCAGGTGCATCATTCATGACTCAAAGTGAACTGTACCTTAAATAGCACTTCCTGTGACCTGTTCTTGCTGATTACAGGAATGATTGAAGTGTCACTCTGGAGGGAATCTGTCTGCCTCTGACATTAGAGTGCCTCCAGATGCTGAAAAATTAGTACCTGAGGTGGTTCAGGACATCATTAGTGTGCACAGTAGAATGGTGTCAGGCACTGACTCAGGAAGGGAGTAAAAGAAAGATGATCTTTAAATTGATAAATCTGACTAATGACTGTTGATTAAAGCCTTTTGAAGCAGTGATACTGTATGTACTTATAACTCAAATCACCTAAAGGACCAAGCATTTCTGTAATGAATAAGTGAGTGGCACAGCTTAGTTCTGCTTTTGTGGAAGCTCAAATTCTCACTGCTCTTTTTGAAAAAAATATTTGGAAGATTATTTAATAATGTCTTTGTAACACTTGATTCCAAATAAGGTTTTAATTTGTTTTCTTGGGATTTCTGGGGATGTTGTTGAATTTACAGAGAACAAAATGGATATCGGCCAAATCCTAATTCCGTTGGGCAAAACATCAGAACACCTGTGGCTGGAAACACAAATTCTGTTGGTGGTCTTATGAACATGTCACCTGGTCAAGGCATGCCAGTGCAGAACAGGAACTATGGTATGGGAGATCCCAATGCAGTGGGTCAACTCAGCAGCACTCGATATGGAGGCCCTGGGAATATGGGGCCAGCGAGCTCTGGCCCTGGAATGCAATCCTCTGCTTATCAGAACAACAGCTACGGGTTAAATATAAACAGCCCACCACATGGTAGTCCTGGGTTAACTTCCAACCAACAGAATCTGATGATATCTCCTAGAAATCGAGGGAGTCCAAAAATGAGTTCACACCAGTATTCACCAGTTACAGGTATTTTATTTTTGCTGTAAGCTCTTCTTTTTTAAGCTGTCTTTTATCGCTGAGTCTCGTCGTTCATCCTTTTTAACAGTTCTTTGTGACTCTGTATGTGTTACTGAAATGTGGTTTACCTGATTTCATGGTAAAAACGTATTTTAAAATTATTAACTCAGTGTGACAGTCATACATAATCCAAAGGAAAAGTAGATCTGGGCAGTACTGTAACATAATGAGTGTGATCTCTGTCCTGTGATACAGGTATGCACTCACCAATGGGATCTGCCAGCAACACAAGCAACAGCACTTTCTCTAGCAGCTCTCTCAGTGCTCTGCAAGCCATTAGTGAGGGTGTTGGAAATTCCCTTTTATCAACACTTTCTTCACCGGGTCCAAAACTGGATAATTCCCCAAACATGAGCGTAACTCCGCAAAGTAAAACAAGTACCCAGGACTCCAAAAGCCCTTCTACTTTGTATTGTGAACAAAACCAAGTGGAAAGTTCCGTCTGCCAGTCAAACAGCAGGGATCTCCTTAGTGAAAAAGAGAGTAAAGAGGGAAATCTGGAGGCATCTGAAAGTCAGAGAGGACCGTCTGAGAGCAAGGGGCATAAAAAACTCCTTCAGCTGCTCACGTGCTCCTCAGACGAAAGAGGACATTCTACAGCATCGAACTCACCTTTAGACTCAAATTGTAAAGAGCCTTCTACCAGTGTTACCAGTCCTTCAGGAGTTTCCTCATCAACATCTGGAGGGGTGTCTTCCTCCTCCAACGTGCACGGGTCACTCCTGCAAGAGAAGCACAGGATTTTACATAAATTGCTGCAGAATGGCAATTCTCCAGCAGAGGTGGCCAAGATCACAGCTGAAGCTACTGGCAAAGACACGTATCATGAGGCTGGTAACACAACCTCCTGTGGAGAAGGCACTGTCAAACAGGAACAATTGAGCCCAAAGAAGAAGGAAAACAATGCTTTACTAAGATACCTGTTAGATAAAGATGATGTTAAGGACCCGCTTTCCAAAGAGTTGAAGCCTAAAGTAGAAAGTGTGGATAATAAGATGGGACAGTGCACTAGTTCTACAATTCCTACTTCTAGTCAAGAGAAAGAGATGAAAATAAAAATGGAGCCAGCAGAGGAGGTACAGTATAATGTAAAATGATGGCAGTGAGCTAACTGATATTTAATTATTACAGTGAATGGCTAAATATAGGACACTTCTTGTGTAAGCATTTCTAATAAAGTTGTGTGCAAATGAAACAGTGCACTCAGGTTTCATTGTAAATAAAAAAGCACAAAGAGAAGTACAGGATATGTATATATAAACAAATCTGGTCTACTGAAGTCGTGGATTAATGTTATCTTTGAGGTATGGTATGATTAAGGTAATATTAACAAATTACTCCTTGAAATCAGATCTTTAACATTGCTATTTCACATTGCTATTTCACATAGCACATGTTTGGTTTTATGGCTTATTTTATTAAATGGAGCTGTAACTGCCTGTGTAATTAGTTGGCAATACAACAGCAAAAGATAAAATGTGATTTCATTTTGAAAATATAAACAGTACACAAAAATATGTAATACTTAAAATAGCTATGATTTGGTTTAGTTTATTCATTGGTTTTAGCACTCTTTTTTTCTCCTTAAGTGAGGTAATATGTTATCCCAAATACTTACATATATTCAGCATTCAAATAAATATATACCTGTTAATTTGTTTCAGTGTTTCTAGAGTCAGAATTCCAAGAAATGTCATGATACAGAAAACTGTAGCACCATCCAACAACTATTCTGAAACTACAAGTGTGACTAAGAAGTCAGTTAGGGACAGCTGTTCTTAAAATTATAGTCTGTGTATAATATTTTTGTATTTAAGTCCTAAGTCAGATTTGGAACCTCTTCAAAGTGAGCAGTACTGGTCAGTATGGCATTTACTGAAAACATATTGATATCTTAGAACTTTGGATTTCCCAAGTAATAAGAAATATGTATATAAATTATGCACAGTTTTTATATTAGCTAATGGCTGACTATAAATTGAACACCTTATAACATTTTTTTGAATACCACTTCTGGAAAAGTCACAACTGTGCAATAGTACCCAACGTGTAGTGTCAGTCCTTGCTCCTGAGATCTAATTAAGGTATTCAGAGAAGCTGTTTTTGTAAAGATGTGAATCCACTATATGTGAATTCTTTTTCTATGACCAGAAAAACCTGTAGGTAATTTCCATGTGTTGTCATGTTTGCCAGTAATGAAATTAGGCTTTTTGTGTGTGACAGATACGTTATTTATCACTGATAATACACATTCTGGATGCTGTTGGCTGTCATTAGTGTTTTTATCTTTGTAGTTTCTCATGACTGAAATGTTTATATTCAGAGGGGCTTTTCATTTTAGTTATGTGGTCCTCCAGTTTCTCCTAATTCTCAAAATTAGCTGAGCAAAATACTCTAAAAACCAAATGTAGCTAAATGGTATCTGAAGCTCTCTGGAAATTGAGATCCAGCTCAAGGTGTAATGTCAGTGAATTAAAACATTTGTCTCCCAGTTACATCTTTTAGGATTAGCAAGGAGCTGAATAAAACCTGAAGGATGGCCATATAAGAATAAATAACCTTGGTGTTTTACTGCATCATTTTCAGATGAATGGAGACTTGGATAATTTGGATGCAATTCTAGGTGATCTGACTAGTTCAGAGTTTTACAATAATGCTATGTCAGCCAATGGAAATAACCTTGGAACAAAGCAAGCATTATTTCAAGGAAATGCCTTATTGGGTAAGGAATTGAATATCACTTTGGTTTTAAAGTTAGAGTTTTCTTCTTACCTGATGTAAACATCCTCGAGTCCTTAGAGAACACTTTCTTCATCTCCTATATCTTCAAGGAGAAACATAATGCAAAATGTCTAATTATGCTTTCCCAGGCTATTTTGTGCACTATTAGCTGACTTGGCAGCACTCACCTGCTATATACACAAGGAATAACATTCAGTTCCTTGTTTTATGGTTTATTCTGGGTTTGTCTAATGTAGATTTCTCAGAGACAAGTCATCAGGAAAAATGTTTTGCGAGTTGTAAATTAAAATTGAGAATTTTTATCCCTTGTAGATGTCTAGAGATATAATATGGAATTGATGGCAAGCTTCTAATTTCCCTCTTATTCTTTGTGAAAATTCTAATTGTGGGTTAATTGTCCATGTAGCACACTGTGCTCTGAACACACCACCTCTGGATTCAAGCTGTTCCAAACAGAACCATTGGTTTCTGTCTTCATGTCAGAGTTACCCAAAGCCTGTGTGTATATATATATATATATGAAGGAGTCTGTAATACTAGTGTGTTTCAAAGTGTTAAAAACATGGTTCATTACAGAACTTAAATTAAAATGATCTCTTTTTTTTTGTCTAGGGCCAAAGGGAACTACTGTAAATTATCCTAACTATTTTTCAAAATGTGATTTTTGTGGTGAGAACATAAGCAAAATAACTATTCCTGGCTTGCTTAAGATCAAATATATGTGCCCATAAATAGATCAGACTAATTTATTGAAGTCATTAATGGCACTTTCTATTTAAAATTACAGTTCCATGCATCTTTTAATTCTTTCACAGGTGTGAAGAGTTCCCAGTCTGTGCAGACTGCTCGCCCTCCTTTTAACAGAGCCATGTCTTTAGACAGCCCTGTGGGCTCAAGCTCTTCCGTGAGGAATGTCAATGCATTCTCCATGTTACAAAAGCAAAACTTGATGGGTGGAAGTCCAAGAATGATTGAAAACCAAGAAAATTTTGGAGCAAATCTGGGTTTGTTGATTGTCTACTAGTAGATCTCATTATAAAGGAAAAAGCTTTTATGTCTCAAAAGGTTTCAAGATTATGAGTTTTCGTTAGAAGAAATCTTAATGTTAAAGAATGTTAATTTTACCATCAAAATATTAATAATTCTTAATTATTATCCTAGCTTAAATCATAAGAAAATAACTGTTTACTACCTGGGTATCATTAACTTTACTTTTATTAAGTAGTTAAACTGTTTTTTACTATTTTGAGTCTTCAATGTATGTTTTTGATGTATAGAAGCAGGTACAAGTCACAATGGTAAGTTAAGTCATTATGACCTTTAAATATAGCTCATAGGTCATTTAAATAGACTCATATAGGTTTTTGGTGATTTAAAACTTGGCATGGCTAGCTTTAGATGCTTTTTTAGGAGTTCAGTGAATTGCTCTGTCATTGGCAGGTGCACTTGTTGCTGAAATAACAATTCCTAACCCAAAATATGCCTAGATGACAAATCCCTGCATTTCTCACTCTCCATTACAGCAGCTGCTCCCAACAGGAACGTGGCCATGAATCAGCATCAGCCCGACTGGGGTTTGCCCAACTCCAAGGGGAGCAGGTTGGACCCCGCAGGCTCTGCCGGGCTGTTGAGGGCAGGCCCCGAGTTCAGCCCCGCGGCGCTGCCCCGGCCCGCGGCCGGCTCTGGGGCTCTGCCCCTGCGCTCCCACAGCCTGCCCGCCTCCAGGCCAGGCCTGCAGCAGCCCATGATCCACATGAGTAAGTTCTGCACTTCTTATTGTCCTGCTCACTGCTTTCTTAGTTAGCATTCATCATAAGAATCTTCTCGATTTTGGTAGAGCGCTGTATTTTCATCAAAAGGCTTTTGAAGGTAAAGGCTGTTGTTGTTCCCTGACTGTGACATTCAGTGACTTTTTGGCAGGTTTGTTATCTTCTGGTGTTGTCTGTGTGAGTCTCCAGATTTTGGGGAGATAATTTCTGTGTATTTTTTTCAGTGCAGTGCTTCTCTGCTAAATTCCAGGAACTAAATGGCATCTGCGATTCTATACGTGAAGATATTAATTGAATTCATCATACTCAACATAGATGCCTTTTTTTTGCTGTTAACTTCTTGGTAGTCAGTGGTTTTTAAAGTTTTTTTCTCAAGTATTTCAAAATTCTTCTCACATGGAGTAGCCAAATTTCATAGGAAACCGCATCACAAATACAGTTTCTCTTCAAAGTATTCAAGTTTGCATGAGAGAAAATAAGCTGCGTGTCTAAAATGTGAACAGAGCCTTGAAACCTGTGTGGTTTTTTTGTTCTGTGTCTCTAACAAAGGTTTACCCTAGAGCTGAAATTTTCCAGTCTACTGTGCCAATACTGGTATGCCCCAAAATGGCCAAAATAGCATTTCTTCCTTTCCATTTTTATCATGGAAGGCTCTTACCAGTTCTCTTACTGTTTCAATGCAACATGTGGTTATAAGGTTAAATTGGGAAGAAATTTGTGCAGTGCTGACTGAGTCAGAATTCTTAGCTCAGCTTCCTAGAAATGGTTATTGCCAGGTGATTCCTACAGGTACTGGGAAATAATGAGTTGACATAAACTCTCCTATGTAATGCTGTGTGTCTAGGTAGAGGGAAAGTAAAGAGCAAAATGTTATGTACTTACTGTTTCTTTTGATTTTCACTTTGTATTGGAATTTAAAATGCCAGATATTGATGTCAATATGACAATGTATATTTGCTGGTACCCAGATGTCATTGGCCAGAAGTTTCTAATTTTTTTTTCATGCTATGTGCTGTATCTATAAGATTCTGATTTGAGGGGCTAAAGGACTAGAAACAGGAGTTATGCTCTGACAGGGCAGCAGCTTTAGATCACTGTCTGTCATATTTAAATCTGTGGTCTATTATATTTCTGAAATGATGTTGAGTGTGAGTTTATGTGTGTATACACTGTAAAACATGCTCATGGAAAGCTCGTGAAGCTGCTTGACAATCTGCACGATCATCCTCAATGCTTTCTCTGAACACCAGCAGAGCAAGATGACACCTTCAGTTTTTAAAAAACCCACAAATGTTTTACCTCACAGGGCCAAATGAGATAAACATTGGAATGGCAGGGAATCCCTATGGACAGCCTGGACCTTCTAACCAGCCTGGATTGTGGCCTGACAACGTGCTGTCCGTGGAGCAGGCACGGGGTTCACAGAACAGGTAGATCTGGGGAAGGTTTTAAGATAAATTTTAAATAGAGCTGTTCACTGTTTGTCAGAAGAATTTAAGACCTGGAAAAAAATTTGTGTAGCTTACACAGTGGGAATAACAGATTGGAGTGAGAATCTGTTTCCATTTCTGCTGCTGATACGAAACTGGGTATCTTTTACTCTAGCTCCACAAAAGGCATTGTTAATAAAATCAATCAATCCCTGAGTTGGGAGGCATGGAGAAAAGAGATGGGAAAATCTGAAATTATATCTCTGTGGCACATGGCAGAAGCCAGGTAAAAACAGAAGGATACCTGTTCAAGGATACCTGGAAGGTGACTGGACATTTTAGAACCTAAATTTCGGACTGAAGTTGATAAGTCTTACTTCAGTCTTCTGGTGGTTATAGTACTTAAATCATCTCCAGGTCAATATGTTATATAAAAACTGTGGGTTTGGTTGTAGTGGTTGTAATGAATTTCTTCACTGGTGGTCAGGCATTGGAAGGGGCTGCCCTGGGAAGTGGTGGGGTCTCATCCCTGGAGGTGTCCAAGGAAAGACTGGACGTGGCACTCAGTGCTCTGGGCTGGGGGACAAGGTGGGGATTGGGCACAGCTTGGACTGGGTGATCTTGAAGGTCTTTTCCAGTCTTAATGATTCTATGATTTTAATGTTTTTATATTTATAGACAGCTAGTTAGAAACTCTTTGGATGACCTCTTATGTTCAGCTCCAAATATGGAAGGCCAGAATGATGAAAGGGCACTTTTGGATCAGCTGCACACATTGCTGAGTAACACAGATGTCACAGGGCTGGAAGAAATCGACAGAGCATTAGGAATTCCTGATCTTGTAAGCCAAGTAAGTCAAGAGAGATTTGGGCCATTTATTTTCCAAAATCCTATATTCTTTTGTTCCTTGAAAAGGAAGTGAAGAGGGCCTTCTCACTCCCTCTCCTCGCTTCCTCATCCTCATTTTCCTACATCTGCTGTTGGAAACCTCTACACTGAGTAATGATTTTCATTGGAGAAGCTCAGTATGGATTAAACTTCTTGTGCATTACAAGGAAGATAAATGGCATACTCGTGTAGAAGTTTATTGTATCATGCCTTGGTGTATAGAGGTGTTTTTTGGGTGTAATTCATTATAATTCTATAAGCTGGGAATTGTGTTGGGGTTTTTTAGTAAACTGTTGTCAGCTGAGCTTATGTTTTGAAATCTTTGACTGGCAGTGACAGTGTGCTTCCATCTCCTTCAGTTCCAGCTTGAATTTGCATGGCTAGCAAATAGGAAAAAAATGATGAATAATTTGGAACTTGCTAATACACAGAAAATCATTTGTACAAATAGCATTTGAAAGTGTGGAAGGGCTTGAACAATGACACTGATCTGCCTGTGTACACACTGTGCAGCAGAGCTGGTTTAAAAGAAAAGTTATAAATTATCACTTTTGCTGTTTCATTAGTTTGGAGAGAAAACAGTCCCTGTCCATGCTGTGTTCTACCCAAGAAACTACTGGTTGTTGTAATATGCTGTGTTAGTTTTATTGCTTCTTTTGGAATTCCTACTTAAAGAATATACTTCTATTGAAAGCACTTTTGTATCTGTTGAAGGGACAAGCTTTGGAACCTAAACAAGATTCATTTCAAGGTCAGGAATCTTCCGTCATGATTGAGCAGAAGCCTTCGTTATATGGTCAGCCCTATCAAGGGCAAGGGGCAGCAATGCCAGGAGGTTTTAGTAACATCCAGGGACAACAGCCATCTTTTAATTCAGTGATGAATCAGATGGGCCAACCAAGCAACTTCCCACTGCAGAGTGTGCATCCCAGGGCCAACGTGATGAGGCCTCGCACCAACACGCCCAAGCAGCTCCGCATGCAGCTCCAGCAGAGGCTTCAGGGCCAGCAGGTAATTCTTTGCTCCTTCAGTCACAATTCCTTCATGTTCCAGAGAGGAATCAGTTGCACATGGAATTGTGTTGCTTCACAAGTGTGATAATGGACATGACAACAGATGATTGAGAGGACAGATCTTTCATTTTGCCAGTGCTTCTCACCAAGTGCCTGATGGCTGTAGGAGTGAAAGAACCTTTATTAGGACAAGTGTTTCTCCATCAGCCTCCCCAGTTACACATTGGATTGGTTCCTGCAGCACACAAGAGTGTTGTGACTTTAAACAGTGCTCTTGAACAATGTAGCTCTGGATGATCTCTTTGTCCATGTTCATTTAGGTATTTTCTTTTGGATGAAAGGTGAGAGAATAGATACAGCCACATAGATGGTAACAGTAGTTTGAAAGCACTGCTTACAAAATTGGTGCATGATTTCAGGAGTGAATTCCCCATGTGGAAATGCAGGCCTGGCATCAAATACAATGTACAAAGAAAACTTGGAAAACTGAGCTATTGCTGTGTGATGTGAAATGGTGGTGTTTGATCCGTGTTCTCTCTGCTTTTCTGTGACACTAGTTCAGTCTGTGTGGCTTTGGCCTTTTGTCAGGGAGAGGGAAGGAGACAGAATTTTATTATTTTAAGCAAAGCTAGTGGTTATATCCTTTTGCCCAGTACATGATTTGGAACAAATAAATAGTCTGCTCTTTATTCTTAAGGAGTGCTAATTTCAAGGGAAGTAAAAAACCAAACCCCAGTAGTAGTGCCCTGTTTGGAGGGTTTTTCTTTTTTGTGTGTGTTTGAGCTGTTCTGTGGGTACATGAGACAAGGCAAAAATTAACCACTGCACTTCATGGATTCAAGAAGTCTGTAAGTAAACTTTTTTTGCAGGAGTTGCCATTACTTTGTTGAGATACTGTTATTTTCAGGCTAATTCTGCTAAAATGTCTTTTTCCAAGTTTATCAATCAGACCCGTCAGACGCTTGAAATGAAAATGGAAAGTCCAGTCAGTGGAAATACCTCAGCAATGAGACCAGTTATGCAGCCACAGGTGGGATCACAGGTAAGTAATTATTACACTGTTTGGAATTTTGACATTCTTTCATGATTCCACAGCATTCCTCTTTGGTTTTGTCCCCCTGCACAATTAAAAAAAAGGTGGGTTTTTTACCTCCCTTATTCCCAAGATTGCAGAGGGATTTGTTCATTAGGTCATGTTATCAATTCAGTTTGCCAATAGTTTTCCTATGTAGAATATACCTAATCGACTTTATAATTTGTTTAGCACTAATGACAATTTAATGAAAACCTTCGATTAATATTTTGATGACTTTTTTTTGTACTGGCTGTGGGTTTTTCTTAACTTCCTGTTCTGATAATGGCTATGCTGGGTCTTAGAAGGAGTGTAGGTGGTTTGATTGACTCTGTCGTGATTTCATTTGTAAAAACATTTTCTAATATGATTTTTCTTCTCTTTGGGGGAGAGCAGCAAGGTTTTCTTAATGCTCAAATGGTGGCTCAGCGTAACAGGGAACTAATAAGTCACCATTTTAGACAACAGAGGATGGCAATGATGATGCAGCAGCAACAGCAACCTCAGGCCTTCAGTCCACCACCAAATGTGACTGCCACAGGAAGCATGGATAGTGCTTTGACAGGCCCTCCAATGGCTCAAGTTCCTCCACAGCAATTCCCCTATCCACCTAATTATGGTACTAGTACTAACATGTTTTGGTTTTTTTTCATCTGTCTGGTTTTCTTTTCCCTGTCTTTTATTAACCCCAAACTACCTAAATACCAATCATTCTGAAAAATGGAATATACTGCTACAAAAAAAGGATGACATTTCCCTTTCCAATCGCTGCAAGAAGATAAACTAAAAGTACAAGGTGATGACAACTGAAGTGTATTGTATCTCCTTTGTTTTAAGGTTTAAGCCAACAACCTGATCCTGCATTTAGCAGAGTATCAAGCCCTCCCAACCCAATGATATCATCAAGAATTGGACCCTCCCAGAATCCTGTGATGCAGCATCCTCAGCCAGCAGCAATGTACCAGTCCTCAGAGATGAAGGGCTGGCCATCAGGAAGCATGGCCAGGAACAGGTGAACTTCCCAGTTACAACCTGCTTCTCAAAAAGTGTCTTTCCTTTTGTTTAAAGCAGAAACTACGTTAAATAGCTTGTAGTAGGAAAAGGATTTAGAAGAGGAAAAAATCGCTGTCTTTCTGGTGTCTGTATTGTCCTTGACCTGCTCTGCTTAAAGAAATAGAGTGGTTAAGTGTATTTTATGCTTAGCTGCATTGATTCATATTGGACCTCTTGCAGTCTTAGTAACCAGGAGCAACACTCAGTCTTTAAATATTGAAAAAATAACTTGTGGGGAAATACTGAAGTTCAGAATAGTATCACAGTGGATGATACAGCCCTAACAGGAGCCTCCAGAAAGGTTTCACCCAGCACACAGATACTTCTCTGTGTTTCTAAAAATTCAAAATTCCTTTTGGGAGGGAAATCTGTTTCCACACGAAACAGATATTGGGTAGAAACAAGTAAATGTGAAAAGAGTGTTATCTTTCACGTGTTGCCAGCTGGTGCAGGGAAGGCAATGTATCAATGTGTAAACTTTTCAGAAGGTTAATTTTATTTGTCCTTTTGTGCCTCAGTTCTTTCCCCCAGCAGCAGTTCAGCCATCAGGGCAATCCAGCAGCCTACAGTATGATGCACATGAATGGCAGCAGTGGCCACATGGGACAGATGAGTATTAATGCCATGCCTATGTCAGGAATGCCCATGGGTCCAGACCAGGTGAGTTGTTCATACAGACTGACAAAAAGATGCTGGCTCTTTCCACTGAGTAGGGGCTGCTTCCATCCATTCCTCTGGCACAGTCCTGCTCTCAGTTATCCTGTTCATATTTACATCTGTGGGACCTGCCAGTTTTATGTGCAAAGAGACACCTTATTATTGATGATATTTAATCCAATCCACGATGCACCTAAACTGGATGCTGTGAGTAGCTGCTGACTTTTAAATATCATAGGTAGGATCAAGGCTTAGACTGCACAAAGGATGATGAAATACTTCTGAACCTGGAGAAACCCCAGAAAGCCACCCCTGGACATTGTGAAAACCATCTTCAGCAGATGCTGAAAACTATATGTAATAGCTCTTATGAGTCAAGAATCCTGATAGTGTGGGATCCTTCTGGCAGCTGCTGCTGCTGTTACCTTAGAATAGCTTGTGTATGCCTAGCCAGAAACTGTGGGAAATACAGGCCCCTCATTTAGGGGGAAAATGTGCTAATAATAGGCCCTGAAAAGAAAGATGAATTACAAAATATTGCTGCTCTCTTTCCACAAAATACCAAGGCATGGCAACATAATACTGACATAAGCTAAATCTATCCAAGTAAAATGTACCTCATGAAATTCTGTCCAAAGTACCTGAGGAAAATAATCTGAGGATTTCTGGGTGATAAGTAAGGGTTTGGAGGACTTTGATACAACAGATGCCTTTTATAAAGGGGAAAATGAAGGGGAAATGTCAGATTTTCCAAACCTACATGAAGATACCTCAAATAGTGTGTTTAGGAGATTCTGGGAGAGCATTTCTCTTATAGAAATTTATTTTCAAAGAAGTGGAACACTGAAAAGCTACTCTTCTGCTTACAGACATTGATTATCAGTAGTTTCCTCTTCCAAATGCAGTATGTGGACTATTTCTTTTTTTCAGCAAAGATGTTTTTTATTTTCTCTGATGATTATTTCTTCTTTTCTTTAACAGAAGTACTGCTGACACCAGAACCACATCTTCAAGCAAGAAAGGCTGTATTACTGATGCACTAGTGTTGGAAAGGAAGATGACTCAGACTGGGCTTGCAGAAGTTACTTCATTCAGAGGAAAAAATAAGCCAAAAAAACCCTCCCTATCCCCCCCCCCAAAAAAAAAATTAGTAGAAGAAGTCTCTGTATTACTGTATATTGTGGAGTACAAAAAAAGTTTGTTAATATTTTTGGCGCTCTTCCTCTAGAACTGTGAATTTGGTAATGACATTTTAGTAGATTGGATGGGTAGGCTCCTGGTGTACCTGATCTGTTTACTGTATCCAAAGCCCTTCAGCTACAGGCAGACAAAAGTGCCTGGAGAAGTCACAGTGGTAAGAATTTTTGATTTCTCTAGTAACAGTATCTGACAGAGAATGTAGTCTTAGCCTTGACTCTTTTATATTAATTCCTGAATATAAATGCTGCTTTTAGTCTCTTACCCCCAAGAGTCAGGGATTTCCCAAGCAAAGTAGCAGTGCAAAATGAATTGGCACGTTCTAGTCCAAAATCCTGTCCACTGAAGCCAAGGGTTAAAAAGAGAGGATAAACAGTTTAAATTATTTAAACACAGTTGTGACTAATATTTACATATTGCTGTGCAGCTGAGTGCACTTTATAGAAGACTATATAATGGATTAATGCAATATCTTTGATAAGGACTTAATATGAAGGTAGGGGTGTACTCATGTTCCTTCTCAAACACAATCTCTTAAGAATTATTTGAAAAGACTGCATAATGTAATGTGTTCTGTGTATGGAAATTAGAGCAATAATCTTTCATCTTTTTTGGAAAATAACTTCAGAAAAGGCAAGGCACTGCAGTCAGAATCAGAATTTTGCAGTCTTTTTGTGAATAAATTTTGTAAATATGATCTTTAAGATAATGTATTATATATATGACTTTTGTAGGTCACTAACTCATTTTTGCAGAGTTTGTGAAGCTAAATATTTAACAAAATTAATTTCTGTAAACTCAGTGTAGTTGAGGTCCAAATAGAATTTTTCTTTAATTAGATTTAATGACTTTAAAGCTGGGTGACTTTGGCCCACATATTTCTCTTTTTTGGTCTTCAACACTTCATTTATTTTTACATCTTTAACATATAGCTTTTTATAAAAAAGACCGGTTGTAAAATGCTTTCTCCACCTGTGAGCACTTTTGTTACACGTCTTTTTTTTACAGAAGGCAGTTTGACACAAAGGCTCTGCATTGTGAGATGTCCCAGCTTGTCAGGACAGTCGTGTCTTTCTGTAATAGGTCACCTTTTCAGCTGATGAATCTGGATTGTGTCTTTCTTGGTCAGTTTTAATGAGCTCTAAATGTTATCTTTGGAAGTGTTCGTCTGTTGCAAACTATTCCTTGTTACATGACATCCAGAAATCTTTAAGGATATTAAGCCACACTTTAACCAAATGTCTGCACCTCCACTGGATTGTTCTAATAGGAAGGAATGTATTTTCTAAGCAGGTTTCTCTGATATCAGTATTTAAGTCTGGTTACATATTATTTGCTGGTAACGTGGGGGGTTTTTTCCCCTCCATTTTGGGGCCTTGGAATGAAGATCCCGTTGCAGTTTTTAAAGTTACAACAAGTCAAACCTCTAAACTTCCATAAGTGATGACCCAGAAATGTTTAAGATGTGTGGTGCTCCTGTTCTGTTGTTCACTGTGTAATGGAAGACTGATTTCTCCCAAGTGAGTACAAAAAAACCAACCCTGATCTGTGTTCTTTATTGCTTGTTCTTGGTACGTTAGCAAGAGGTGGTTTTACTGTTCAGAATATTCAGTGAGCTTCCATTTTAATAGAAATAACTCTAAATAGAAATAGTCTCAAAACATTCATCCTTAGCATCCAGCCAGTTGTATTCCAAAGGGAATGTAGATCAGTTAATCTCTGCCATTAGCACTGAGTAAACAGATTAGGTGACAGCATTTATTTGAAATCTTCTGTCCAATTCACCTGTGTTTTTTAATGCAAAACTTTTAAAAGCCTGAGGAACTTTTCTCTTTTTTTTTTTCCTTTTTTACATTTCTTAGAACATATCTATTTAAGTGCTGCCTACTGAAGCTGAAAGGCAACAATCCCATGCTTTTTATATCAGATCAGAGCAGAACAATCTTTATATTTTGTAGTTGTTCATTATATTGATGGAAACTACAAACCCTGGTTGCTTTCCTTAGGTGAGCTCTTAGGACTATGGACTGCTTTATACATCCTGCCCTACAATTTTTGTAAAGTGATTCTGTTTATACATCTGTGTTTAACTGGTACCTGACTGATGTTTTAAGGATCATCATTTTCTCATCTGTGTTTAGATTGTACCTTTTTTTTTTTTTCTTTTGCTGAATCCAAAGATTTTTAGTTTAAACTTGATTAAGGGGGAGGGGGCATTTTTAAAAAGCATTGATGATGACATCTTTCTTGGCAGCACTAATCCTGCATAGGACATCTAGTTTGAAATCTGCTGACATTTAGTTATTGCCATCAGTTTTGCTTTGGTTCTGTGGCAGCAGATTTTTCTGAATGTTTTTAAAAAAACAACCTGTATAACATTATTCAACAGTAAGAGATCAATTAGCTAGTACAGCCACCTCTGATCACTGCTGCATAAATGTGTTGTTTTACTACATGTCTCTTTTGATCACAGAAATCACGTGGTTATTAATAAAACTCATATGTAATACTTTTTTTTTCTTGGCCTAAAATACTGCTTTCAAAGTTAGAAAATCCAGACCACGTTTCAGTCACAAGACAAAACTTATTTGAATGTTGCACCAATTAGCACACCTTTTATTTTAGAATTTATGTGCAGACTACCAGATGACAGAATGATACAGCAAGTATGAAACCATGTAATTCTGAGAGCAATATTTAAAAAAAATTCTCAGGAGAAGGCATACAGTATTGAGAACTGCATTTAAGTTTAGTTTACATTGTAAGTATTGCTTGAAATATCTGTATCTTTATTTTGCAAAACAGAAAAATCACGGGGACTGATTTATAAAAGAGTTGGTTGTAAGGTATTACCGCCCTTCTGGCTTTTGTGTTTGGATGTTAATAATAATGTAAATAAAGGTTTCTATTTAAAATCAGAACTTGATTAGCTGTCTAATACTTTAAGGTTCATGAGTGTATCCTGCAAAGGTCAGAGAAAATTCGGTGCTGCCACTGAGGAAAACTGTGCAGAGAATGATTTCCATCTTCTAATTGGCTGCAAGAGCTGAGGGAGCAACAACTTCGACCTTTCCCTGATGGGACCCATTTAGCATGGAGAGCACCTGGGATGTGTTGTCTTTGTCAACTCACACTGCAGTTTGTACAAGAGCTGAAAGGTGAAGAGGTGGCAGCTTTCCCCAATTCGGCAACAACTTACCTTTCACAAAACAGCAGCTGCTTCTGTGTCCCAACCAAGCCCCCACAGCTCAGGGGTCTGGGTAAGGAACAAGGTAATTTTTTCAACAGGAGCAGGAACACTGGGCCCTGCAGGATTTTCACCATCACACCCTCAGCTGGCCAAGGACTAAAGGCTGAACACACAAAAAAAAGGTAAGTGCCAATTTTTTTACATCTAACCTCAGACTCTTTCTGTAAAGTTTAGCAGATGGTTAAAATTTTTCTCTGGGAAGCAGCAAAAATGTGTTTCATTTTTTACTTATTTGTACTGATTCGGGATCTCATCATCTAGTAGATATTTCTAATAATCCATGAAAGCTGTAACAAGTTGCAAAGAAAATCTATGGCTAGATTAAGACAATCATATTTTACTTCCATAATTAAAAAAAGCTTGCAAGAAAACTTTGGGAAGTATATTTGACTTACCACATGTAATACAAATACTCAAGCCCAGTCTTGCTGTATAGCACATTTACAAAGAGTCCACTTCTGCTTTTTGAGCAGGTTTTTGTTTTATGAGGGGTTTTCTTTGTTTGTTTGTTTGTTTTTTCCTTAGTTCCTAAATCCAAGTCTATTTTTTGAGTAGGGGGGTGTGGTACCAGAGATCTACATGCCTGGATATGATTCCACTTGATTTTCCTAATGTGCAAAAACCAGGAAGGGTTCCAAAATAATTTCCATGCTGTATTTTTTTTTCTTTACACTGCATTTCTAAAAGAGCAAGTTAAGTTTCTGTTTTAAAAGAAAGTACCTCTTTGTTAGGAGTGAAGGCCACAGTTGGTCAAGTCCTGCCCCATGAGCACCCTCGGGCACGTGCCTTTAAAACAGGTAGCAGAGTAACATGGATTATAAATACAAATCTCACCACTAATGCCTGTGCTACAATGGCCTGTACTACAATGTATTTAATAATGTCCTTATGAAAATACTCAAATAACTCTGTACACTGTGCTTCTTTAGTAAAATGATAAGGGTTTTTTTTCCCTTTAAAAGCCTTTAAACAGTAACTGTCATTCAGAACTTCAACTTTTTTTGTAGACTAAACTATTAACTAGATTATTCTTTATTGACTACAAGTATTGAACTTCTCAGAGCTGCCTTTTTTCAAAAATAAATGTAGAAGTTACACTGCTGAGCAGACGCTGCTTTCTCAAAGGAGTTGTTTTGGTTTTGAACACACAACAGGCTATTACCACAAAAAAAAAACCCCAACTTCATACAAATCTGATTTTGTTAAAATTTTAGATGTACATTTACCAAAATTTTTCAGTACTTCTAAAAATGGATGAATTCTGGCTGTCCTAAGCCACAGTAAGTAACATTTTGAGAAACAGGCCGTGGGCATTACACTCTTTTTATTAACAAAATTCTTTACAACCTGAAGGAATTGCTTTGCAAACAGTATATTGAGCAATATTTTACACAACCCCTCCAAAAATCTGTTAGTGAAGATTTTCTCTAATCTTCGTAGAGGTGGCAGTAGGATGGACAAACAGATGGAACTAAAATGTATCCTCAGAGGAGACTGGAGAAATGTCGTGGTGTTGAGAACACTCAGTGCTGCTCAAAGTTCTGTTCAACCACTGCCTTCACCCCAGGGAGAAGCAAAAGCATCCATGATTCTAAATCTTGCTTTAGAGTTATACTTGGCTTTGAAGTGTTTCTGGTGACAACTGAAGAGAAGGTTGAGCTGACAATGGTTTGGAGTTCCCCTCAGCTGTCTGTGTAAACGCTGGAATGGCTCTTTGGGATGGGGCTGTGCTTCCTCTCCTCTCAATTGCTGGCTCAGCGTTACTTGTGTCTTCTTGGAAGTAAAATGCCTCGTGAAGCAGGTGAGGTATAATCCAAAGCAAAAAGCAGGTACAATAGTGGAGTTCAGAGACCTGTATTTCTGACAGCATTTCCCACAGTTTCACTGCATCTATTCAACTCACTCACCAGTGCAAACGTTCTACCTATTTCAGCCTCAAAGTTTATCCAGTCCTTCAGGCTAATGTTACAATTCATTTAGTCTGTACATGGATTCAAGTTCTGGCCAGTTTGTATCCTCATGGAGGTGCAGCAGTTGGGGAGATTAGCCCTCCCAGCCTTCCCACAGTTGTCCTCTTTAAAATAAAACAAAACACAGTTTTAGTGTATAATATTCCAGTAGAAAGCAGTTAAATATTTTTAATGATTCCATGCAGTAAAAAACAATGGAAACACTGTGCACCACCTATAAAACCATAGCAGGTGTATGACAGAAACACAATCCAACTCTGTTTGAAACTTCAATCTGTACAAAGCTTGTTAATTCAAGCTTCACTCTGGTTCTAAAGCCAGTCTTAGATCTCTTCAACTAGAAATAAAAATGCTCTATTACATGAGCAAATCCTCTTGGGCGAGTGAGAAGGCCAGACTGTGTCTAGGAAGGGACTTGTGCATATTTTTGCCACTGCACTGTTTGAGAGCACTTTATGATTTTTAATGAACTGAAATCTCTTGCCTTCTTTTTAAGGGGAGATTCAGAGACAGTAACTTTTTAAGTACTTAAATTTGTATCTCGCCTTTGAGCTCTGGCAGGTTGAGAACTGAATATCATTGTCAAGTTTTGAAGGGCAGCTCAGTAAGAAAAAAAAGCAGTCTTAGATACAAATCTGTCTTGTAGTAGTCTACTTTCTGTTTTAACTTCCTTTTTTTGCTCATAACAGAAGGCTGTGGTCAGATAAAGAGCAAGAAAGTACAAGGTACTGTCTCTCTGCTAGTGAGAAATTACAGTTAAAAGATTTTGTTCTTTCTGGATTGGATGAAAAACCACAAGGTAGCTGCTACTAATTTAAATTTAGGCAAAACCAACATACTGGTCTTTAAATTTAACTGGCAGTTGACCATAACTGGTTTCTTCAGCTGAGCATCCATCCACCTTTACTCATTTGAAATTGCCTTGACCTTAATGCTCCTGGAGTCCCAGAAAACATGGACCAAGAGGTTTTGTGCAGCAGTTGTCAGTAATGATGTGGAAATATCATATTTCTTGCATAATTTAGAGGACTTCCCACTTAAGCATTCCATGAGAATAGATGATGATGTTATAAAAGGTGCTGCATGCAAAAAGAGAAGGAAAAAGCTAAAGCAAAAAAGCAAATGGTTTTGGTGAACTGCTCCCAACTCACAGTGACTTGGCAGATGATGGTCTCTTCACATCTGGCCATTTTCGACGCTGAAACTGCCTAATTTTCAAGCAGCAAAAGGAGAAAAAAAGTTAACCATCACCAAGAAAACCACCAGCACTACAGTCTGAAAGATGAAGAAGGAGAAGAGTTCAGCCTGAATTTTGACTACCAAAGTTAGAACATGAAACAAAGAAGTTTCAAAGTGTTTCAAAGCAACTGGGGTGGAAAGCCCTTTCAAATGCCCTTCCAGGCCATGCCTGTCCATGTTTTTTTCAGCATGAAAGTAGTATTTAAGAATAATAATGTAACTTTTTTTTTTTAAATGTACCTGTACTGCTCGTAGCTTCCATCTTTAAGTCCTAGGTGAAGAAAAATTAACAATGTTACCAGGGATTGCCTGTATCAGGTAAGACAATTTTAAAAAAGACTTAATAACAGATCACCCAATGCCCTGAGTAACCTGGCATGCCCTCACATCTGACCCTGCACAACTCCACAAGTCTCTTCCAACTTGAACTGGCCTATGAGCTTGATAGTGTCTATTAGGGTATTCTTTCCCTCTTTCACCAGTATCTTTCTTTCCTCATCATCCTCTGCATGTCTGTAACACTCATCACCAGGCTGATGAGTGATTTAAGTATCATTCTTAATTTTAAAAACATTACATAACACAAACTGAACACCTACAAAAATCTGAGCATGCAGTTACCAGCTCAGCAGGACATTACCAGTACTAAGAAATACTAAAATCCTTTTGGCTGATTCAAGGTTCATAATGGTAAGAGCGAGCCCCATTTCCTTTTTGGGGGGTTTGTAAGTGCAACAGGAGAGGCACTTACCTAGATCCATGTTCCTAGTTCTTGGATTGCATTGCTTATACCCTTTGCAGCTCCTGAGTTCCATGAGCTGGACGTGCAGTTGATTGAGAACCTCTCTGTCGAGCGTATTCACTGCATTAATTAGCTGCAATAAACAGGGGTTCTTGTTAGTAACTATTGCTCTGTAGTTTGATAGCTTTCATATATGGAATACAGGTGGTTTATTTGTAACAGGAAAGAGCCAAATTATACTGGTTTAAGTGACAGAGGCCTTAAATTACATCCTGCAGCAATACTGGGCAATTCAGTTAATCGTCAATAAGGAAAAATGCTGTTATTTCTTCAGCTGTGATCTTGAGGTCTATGATCAGATACCTGATATGGATCAGTATTGAGGTCAAAATACTCCAGAAATCCAGTAGCAAATTCACAGAACAGGAAGTTGTGGGTCTCATTGATTGTCCTCAAACACCAGTAGGTGTTGTTGTTGGCACTGGTACAGGCACAGAAAGGGCCCACTGCAAATGGAACAGTTAGAAAAGCATCAGCTACAGTCTTTGGCACTGCTAATTATTTCTGTTTATAGCATTCCTTTATTCACAGAGGGTAACTCTCACTCCTGAGCTCTAAAGCAGAGAATGCCTTCCAGCATCAGCCTCTTGCTCTGTGCACACCTAACCCACACCACACGGCTCATTAGAGCAACATCTTGTCCAGTTGGGAAACACTCCAGATGGTGAGATACCACACCCACACTGTGCACTGTCTGTTGGTTACTTGCAGTTGTTTTTACCTCCCTTGCCTTTTGTGCAGCACTGGAACAGATTCTTTCCTTTGGGGCTACACAGGCACTGAAACCCCAAACTGGGAACCCAACAGCCCGGCCCGGTCTGGCCAGAACCCACCTCCCTGTTCCCGAGTTTCCAGTATCCTTACATGTCCAGAGGGGAGCAGTTTGCCAGTGCTGGTTGTCGTGGGTGAAGCAGGTGAGCCCGGGCATGCTGCACGTGTCGTTGTTTTTGATCCTCTTCAGCAGCTTGCGCAGCTTCTTCTTCCTCCTCTGCTCCCGCAGCAGCCACAGCCTGTCCTTCTCCTGGAGGGCTTTCCTGCACACACCAAACATCAGGGTCATGCAAACTCTGTTACACTTGAATGCACCTAAAAAACCCGACACAGCTCGTAAAATAAGCTGCTCTCAGGGAAAGAATCAACATCTTTTTAATTAAATGGCTTCTCTTCCAGATGGAGATGACTCTGCAATTCAACAGCACTGGAAAATGAAAATGCAGCCAAAGGGGCTTACAGGGCTTGCCTGAGGTCTGTGATATGACATTTCCCAAAGCAGGAACCTTATCTCAGAATTTACTAGCATTAGTTCCTTGCCCAGTGTCTCTTTGTTTATGCTTTTTAATACAGGATAAATGAAGCACTAGTACTTCTGCTTAGTTTGTGTGGACCAAATATTATAATGACTTGGCACATCCTCTTTCAAAGGAACAGCCCTTCACTTACTTGAAAGGATGAAGACTGGATCCCTTGTGCCTCAGCTTGGTTTTGTGTTTTGAATGATAACTGGAAAATAAAAACAGCATGGCTGGTGAACAAAGACAACTGCTCCTATTTGTACCACACCATCAGACGGGGTTTGAAGCAGATTTAATCCAGTGTCACTTCTCCATTTGTTGGTGTACAGTGAATAAAGAGCCTCACTCGACTGTGCCAGGCCCCCTTCCCAGCTCCCTGTGCCCCTTGGAAGAATTTCAATGCCAGCTGTACTGTAGGGTTGGGGAAGGGGGTTTCCTCCTTTGTTACTAGCTGGAAGTTCCAGGAAAGCTAACAAGATGGACTGAACTGTCCCAGCAAGAGCAGTGCCTAATATATTCTCAGTATGAGGGTGTAAGCAGACATACACACCCTTGCCTACTGCTTTGCCTCTGTCTCCAGAAACCCTTTCATGATTTTGCAGAAGTCTCCTTTCTGTGGAATTACCAAAGGTAAAAAGAGACAAAACAGCCTCAGCCAATGGCAGTATTTTCTGACTAATAAAGTTACTACCCAAAAAAATCAAACAGAAACAAAGTTTAATAAATGCTGTTGTTCTGAATTCAGTTAGTTAGCAGATAAAAATTCCCTTCAAAACAAATCTTTTTAATTCTTAATGCTATTGGGAGCTTTCCTAAATGTAATCCTTATAACAAATTAACAAAGTAAGATTAATAAAGAACTATCTCCTTCAGTTTTTTTTAACCTTGCACAGATTAACTAATTCTAAAGCAATGCAGTTCTGCAAACACATGAACATTTATAACTTGGATGATTAACTTCATTGATTTCAGTGGGATTAGTCATCTTAAAAATGCTGTGCACAAATAGAAGTAAGTGTAACCTGTATTAGTCTGAAAAACTGGATCATCTTTGAGGTCCCTTTCAAACCTTAATGTTCTATGATTCTATGAACCTCCTTTCCATGTAATCAGTGGGCTGACCCTGTGGCCACTTTGCAAATATTTGGCTATATAAGAACCAACTATGCAGAGACCTTAACACCTAATCACTGTTCTAGTGCCTGCTGCACTTAATGCACAAGTGATCTGGAGCAGGGAAAAGAAATATCTGTTGCCCTGAGCCAGTGGTGGTTACAAACACAGGTAACTCTGCACCAGCTGTTAAATTCCTGCTTCTCCCAACAGATGTAGCTGCTAAATAGTGCAGTGATTTCATCTTAGGAGATAATACATCCAGCCTTGGAAAAAACTGCATGGGAAGAAATCCTCTCATCTTCCCACTGTTTTTATGACAGATTTGTGTAACACTGCACCATAACCACAGTTTGCCCGTGTCAAAGCTGCCAGAAAGAACCCTGCAAGCTTAAAATATTCATCTCTGATATTTAACAGCAGCATCTTCAGTACAAGAGCAGAACTAACTGGTTTACAAGCCACGTTACATCACCACCACTTGACACAGGCAATTAAAGTCCTGCCTGGGAGAAGGTGTGTCATGCACTTGGGCAGCAGCCCAACTCCCCTGAAAGCACATTCAAGGGCAGAGTAAGCAGGCAACCACCAAACAAACCAGACCCTGATCCCTCCTGTGAGGAGATCAATCAGTTACAGTTTCACACTACAAATAATTATTCTGAAGTACACAAGAAATACCTTATCTTGTTACAATCACACTCCTCAGGTCGTTTCTTCTTTAGATGACCTCTCACCTCCCTCAGGTTTTTTATTTTATTTTGCAAGGTTTCAATCTAAGGAAAAAAAAAAAAGGTAAAGATAGAGGTTAAAAAATACAGCATAATTTAGTCTTATTCTAACCTTCTCAAACCCATTTTGCTGTCACCAAATGCTTCCTCTTCACTACCTGCCATGACTCTCACCACTAACAAGTATTTTTGAACTGACTTTCCAGAAGGAAACTCCAGCAGGAGGAAGCCTTGCTGGTTTGCCTGCTCTCTCACTCTTGACTGTGAGAGGGAATGGGGGGCACACAGACACTCCTGCTTCCATTGGGATTTCTCCTCTTGGGCTCACATTTGCAAGAGGAGAAAGGTTGCTCCAAGGAAAAGGAAACCCTTACATTTCAGCCTGTTCTGACACCACGAAGGGGATGGGGAGGGAGTGCTCTGAAATCCCTCTTGAGAGGCTCTGAAAGCAAGGCCCTGTTTGCATGGCAGGCTTTAGCAGTGTCTGCCCACATGGCACAGCCACCAGCAGTCAACTGTGCCACCCACAGGGCTTTATTTTTAACTGCTTGGCTTTTTCACTGAATGAAACTCCTGCTTTTGTTCAGCCTGGTTATACACAGTGGGTATTGCAGTACCTCAGATGGGTATTGCAGGCCTCCCCCTCAGCTCTCTACACAGCAGAAAAAGCAGTGTAATCCACTGTGAACAGTCTGCAGAACCACCACGAGCCATCAGTTACCAGAAGCCACTGATGTGGAAGCTCGTGGCTGTTGGAGCAGAGACAGGACAGGATGTTCAAGGAAAATACACCAAGAATCCAGCCCTGTGACCCTAAATCAGGAGCACAACAGGACAGAGGCGAGCTCCCATGTCCTTTGACACTCCATACTGCCCAAGTTTTCTGAAGAAAAAACAATCACCAGAGCGTGGTGAGATTGAAATTGCCCTTTTAAATCTTTGCAGACTAGTAAATTTTTCAGTATCTGCCTTCTGTGCCAACTGTACCATAAAAGGGGGCCAAGAAGTTCCTACACAGAACTTTGCTGTGAATTTATGTAATTTGGTAAGAGTTTACAGGAGGTCTGTCCTTTATGCTCCTCTCTGGCATTTGTTCCACCACTACCTGGTCCTTGGAAGAGGATCCCTAGACCCTCTTTTGTACACAACACATGTGAAAGGTTTGAGCATACATTCTTAAATATTAGTGACAAAAATATCAGATGATTGTTTTACAGGCCAATTTCATAGGGCAAATCATCTCCAGGTTCTTCATATACACAAGCCTATGAAAAAAATTCAATTCCAAAGTGCAAGGGTTAAGAAAAGCACAAGCAAGCAAAAGAAATTAATCCCAGAAGCACCAAACTAATGGACCTCACTTTTCCTTGGTCTTACATTTGATGTTGAAATCTTGGTTTTGAGAGGTACATTGGCAGAGCAGGGCTATTAAAAGGTTGGAAAGATCCAGATTCATTTTTTTCCCAGGATGGGGACACTTACAAGTCTTATTTATCTCATAAGGCATATGACACCTCTCAGCTGTGCCTTCAGTTGCAGTTCTCTCCTTCACTCAGCATCCTGCCTTCACAAACTTGTACTGACTTAATTATCTCTGAAATGTCTGTTCAGAAATCAGCCAGCAAGTTCAAAAGGTTCCAGAGAGGGACAAAGACACCCAGAGGCAGACAGACAGACACACACAGTCAGCATGATCCTATCAGCCCACAGAAAACCCTGCTGAAAACACACTCTGCAAACAGCACTGACCTCGTGGTCAATATGAAGTTTATGGTCCTTCCAAGCTTGCAGTGACCTGTACAGATCTGTGTCACACTGAACAGTGTCATTCTCCAGGATGTAACACCTTGGCATGGAAAAGCAAACAGGGTTTGTTACAGGGGATACACACCCAGGGCAAGGCAAGCAGCAGCTTTTAATAACACAGCTCCAGGACAAATGAGACCATGGATTGCAAATGACATGCAGAATTCAAAACCCAATATTCACTCCAGAGAACACAAGCATGTTCTGAGCCAGGAAAGAAGTCTGGCTTTGAGTTGCCATGGAAATTTTAAAGAAGCAGAAGAATTCAAGGAGACTATTTCTATCAAGCAGAACCTGTTGACTGCTTAATTTCTGTACGTAAATTGTGCTGCACAGAGTTCTTGCTAATTCATTAGACTGTCTAAATAAATCTCTACTAACTAGCAAGCACTAAAGCATTACTCAGAAGCAGTTTCCCAGTGCATAACTAAGTGATGCAGAGGCAATGATAAAGTATTTCAATATAAGATGTATTACCACACCATAAAGAAAAGGGAAAAAAAAACCCAGAAGAACAAACCAGATACAAAAAAAATTTTGCTGTTTTCTACAAAAGGGATACAATTTTGAGCCCTGACTTCAAAGGCAAAATACCCTCTGACAATATTAAGTCCTTATGTTTCACTAACTTCTAGTAAAATCCAGTTTTTAAAATTCTTTAATAGACAAGCAAACAAAAATCACCACCTGACAGATTTACCTGAGAAAGTTCATTAAGGGTCAAATACCACACAGTCATTTCTGAATGCCTGTTTAAATTAAAACTCCTTTATTTACTCCTTTATTTCCTTTAAACCACCTCATGCATGTTGTCCCACTGCCTTCTTTTCTGCTAGTGTTCCTGGGGACTCCTCATGAATAATGCACAACCTTCCTGACAGTTCCTTGTATGAATTTTGGATTCACCCAGTAAGGCAGCAAAAAAATCAATTAAATTTGTTCCAGAAGAAAAGAGTCCTGAACATTCATGAGAGCTGGGTTAAGAGGACAATTCTCTGATGCCAACCTAGATACCTTTCCTCCTACTGGCAAGTCTCTAACTCACTTCTGTGGACAGAAGTCAAATGGAAAACACAGATACCAAGAGCAGCTAATTGGCTCCTGCATGTTTACATGAGTTAGTCATTAAACAAGTTAATGACAATTTAATGACAGTCAGTAATGATTGGTGGCTTTCCTGATAATTCACAAGCGGAAATGGTGATTAAACTCATCAAAGTACAGTTGAAAAGACACCATCAGTCCCTAGGAAATTTCCCTGAGGAAATTATTTTTAGCCACTGGAGTGCTCAGACAATTGCCTTCCCTCTCTCCCAGTATGTTCCATTTCCCAAGGCTCCAACTTCATTCATAATATAGATTTTCCTTTCCTGGCACTGGTTACAGAAAGCTTGCACAAAGCAACCAGAGACCCAAAACCAGTTCGCACTCCAGTCAGAGCCTTTGGCCTCCAGCCAGGCCAGGTCACACTGATTTCCAGGGGTGAGGCCTCTCCTGTTTTCACACAGGTGTCACATAACTGTTGCATGTCTGGAAAATGCCCTGATCTGTGACTGCTGTCTCTCCCCGGTGCAGGACACACAAAAGC